GCGTGCATCTAGATGTGTATAAGAGACAGGAGAGAGAGAGAGAGAGAGAGAGAGAGAGAGAGAGAGAGAGAGAGAGAGAGAAGTCAGATGGCTACAATAACAACGGTTACGGTTTTGGCATATGAACCTCACCAACTTAAACGCGTTTCTGTCAAGATTGGGGGAACGAACGTGGAGAAGGCGAGGAGGAAGAAGGAGAAAGGTGGGAAGGGAGAGGACGATGGCTATGGCGGAGCCCAAAATAAAGCGGGAGAAAAGGGATCAAGTTGGGATGGAATTTATCTTAATTTCTGAACTCCGTCATGGAATTGAAAAAGCGGGTAGAAAGGGATTAAAAAAAGCTGCGAAAAAGGCATGGATAAAGCAGGGATGAGATTGCCGTAAGTGCTCTCCCCCTTCGTCCTCAACCTACCTTCTCAACCTTGCAATCATCGTCATGATCATGATCATGATCATGGCATCATCATCATAAAAATCATCACTTCTCCTCCTCTCTCTTTTTGTAATAATTTAATAAAAAATATGGACTCCATCTTTGTTTCTGTTAGTCAGTATATTATCCGCCTCCTTCCCACTTCTCCTCCTTCTCTACCTGCGCGTTCCCTCTTCCACGTCATCATCATCATCATCATCATCACTGACACTCGGCACCGTCATCTGACCCCCCTCATCGCCATTTCTAGTCCAGATTCCGCTACGCCCTCCTCCTCCTCCTCCTCCTCCTCTACGTTGCCTTGTAGACGCCACCATCAATCATCATCGTCGACAGCAATCGTCATCTTTATCTGACTTCCTCGTTCTCGCTCTTCATCCAATCAACTTCCTCCTCCTCCTGCGCTTTTTTTCAACATGATCGTCATCGTCGTCGTTATTACTTGCCCATTAATTAAGTTATCAATATGAATCTCGTCGAGCTTACCGCCTTTACTTAAGCATTCTGTTCATCTTGTGGAGGAGGGGAGAAGGGAGAAAGTAGGTCAGGAGGGTGGGGTATGGAGGTGCAGAGGTGGAGAACCAGGATCCAGTGGGATGGGGGAGGGAGAGAGGATAGAAGAGGAAGGGGAGAAGGGAGTAGGGAAGAGGAGGACGAAGGAGGGAAGAGGAGTGTGCGCTTCTTGAACCCTCGATTCTGTCGCTATCTTTCTCTCTCTCTCTCTCTCTCGTGTCAGTGTTTAAATACGTGTCTGATGGTGTCTTGTGGTGTCACTATACCAGAAGGGTCATCTTTGCCAAGATGCCAGGAGGCAGGAGGGGTATTTGCGTTAGAGATTTTTTTCAGGTGTGAAACGACGGGAGAAGGCGGTTGAGTTATTTTCTTGTCAGATGCATTTTCGTCATCGACAGGTGGGATTGACTGGTGCGAGGGGCCTGTCTGGCTGCGCTTTGTCCATGTGTATGACCGTATCTGGACGGGATTACGACCGAATACTCTTTTATTTTTCTTTCTCTTTTTCTCTCTGTCATCTACCTGTGCTGATCGAGTCACGGACTCTCATCATATATGCCGAACTTGTAGAAACTTAACGGCGAAGAAAACGGAATCTGGACGGCATTACGACCCTGTGTGTATAACTGTATCTGGACGGCATTACGACCGAATACACTTTTTCTTTTTCTCTTCTCTCTGTCATCTACTTGTGCTGATCGAGTCACGGACTCTCATCATAAATACCGAACTTGTGGAAACTTAACGGCGAAGAAAACGGAATCTGGACGGCATTACGACCCTGTGTATAACTGTATCTGGACGGCATTACGACCGAATACTCTTTTTCTTTTTCTCTTCTCTCTGTCATCTACCTGTGCTGATCGAGTCACGGACTCTCATCATATATGCCGAACTTGTAGAAACTTAACGGCGAAGAAAACGGAAAAGAAAACGGAAACGGAATCGCCCGACATCCGTTTGCTCAATCGGTATGGGCTATCGGTGGCTCGCTGTGAGAGCAGCAGGAGCAATAGCAGAGCAGCGGACTGGCTGTTTGTTTTTCTTTTACTGCTCAGTCTATGTTTTGTGTCCTGGCGTTTTTGTTCTTTTCTCCCCCCTCTCTCTGTAAGGTTCTCAACCCCGCCTCCCCCCCCCCTCCTTCATTCCCCTCCCTCCCTCCTTCCCTCATCCCTCGTCCGTGCGCGGTTTTTGCGCAGCCGATGGGTGCGCAAAAGGTACGCGCGAGGGGGAAAGGGAGAGGGGGGAGGGGGGAGGCCGGGGAGCGTCGTCGGCGGCGATCTATCTATTCTGATTACAGATTGGATAGTCAACTGCCACGTGGCAGTTTTGACTGTGTTGACACAACCCGTGGCATCTGGTCTGAAAACTGGCCCAAATACAGAGCGTTTTCTGGTGAGATTACCAAGGATGCCGGGGGTGTATCCTCAGTTTTGACTGTGTTGATGCAACCCGTCTTCACCCCAATAGAACGACCGGTCATTATAGGGGGGGCAGTTTTCTGGTGAGATTACCGGACGAGTGCATCTGGTCTGAAAACTGGCCCAAATACATGCACTGTTGAATTACAGACCGGTCATTATAGCTGTATTTGGGGCAGTTTTCAGACCTGCAACGATAATGACCGGACGATTGTATTCGGGTGAAGACCGGTAGGTAGGGAGAATTCACAGAATGAGAGCATGCCGTTTCTGCTGTGAGGGGTTCTGCCACGTGGCAGTTGGGTTTTTTTTTTTTTTTTTTTTTTTTGGGTAACTGAATGGGCAAAGGCGCAAGGTAGTGTGAGGTGAAATTGAGAGAAGAACATAGCTCTTTTTTTTTAAATAATAATAAAAAAAGAGGCAGAGGAGCGGGTGAGAGGAACGATTATCTACGCATGATGATTACTATAGGACATACTGGAATGAATCTGGGCGTTATTCCGCTCAGATTCGAATGATCTGTCTGTTTGTGAGATCTGCGGGCTGAGAAAAGACATGCACGCGAAGTGGTGGCGAGGTTGGCAAACCAGTGTGTTAGGGGATACTGCTCACACTAATAAGGACATTCAGATGAATCTGGGCGTTATTCCGCTCAGATACGTAAAGGCCACCTGTGAGTATGCCCTTCCTTACAGCGGATCGTGAGATCCGCGGCGGGAAAAGACATGCACGCTAAGTGGAGGCGAGGGGAGTGAACCAGTGTGTTAGGGGATACTACCACTCACATTAATAGGACATAATAATCGAATGAATCTGGATCTTATTCCGCTCAGATACATATTAAAAAAAAGGCCCAATTCCGAGTATGCCCTTACTGCGGATCGGAAGATCTGCGGCGGAGAGAGAAAAGGCATGCACGCTAAGTGGAGGCGAGGTTGGCAAACCAGTGTGTTAGGGAATGCTCCTCACACTAACAAGGACATATTCGGATGAATCTGGGCCTTATTCCGCTCAGATGCATTTGAAAAAAAAGGGCTAATTGCGAGTATGCCCTCACATCGGATCGTCAGATTGAAAAGTCCCTCAAGAGTGTCCACTGGGGGGTCTTATGAGACGGAGAAGCGCAGGCAGTAATCTCCCCTTAATGATAGTGATACAAACAGCCTACTTATGTCAATGACGAAGACGATGATGATGACGATGATATGATGATGATGATGATGATGATGATATGATGATGATGACGCTGATGAATTGCAGAGTGCGCTGTCAAGTGCCCTACAGTCTTCACCTGAATATAACGCCCAGTCGTTATAGCTGTATTTGGGGCACTTTTCAGTCCAGATGCAGCGATAAAATGACTGAGCGTTCTATTCGGGTGAATACGGTAGTACGTGGAATATTGAAGGGTTTAGTTTAGTTAGGAAGAGTGCTCATCTTGCCAGGAGGTCACCCATCCTTTGTAACACTCTTCATACCCAGCGGCGGCGCTTGGCTTCTCAGTTCGGATGAGATCGGCGCATTAAGAGAAGAAGAAGAGATGGCGTGTATACATCCAGAGAACGCTCGGGCATTATCGCTGCATCTGGACTGAAAAGTGCCCCAAATACAGCTATAACGACTGGAGGTCACCCATCCTTGTACTCTTCCGGACTTCCCCCGAACACAACGCACCCTCATTATGACCGCATCCAACGGGAAAGATGGTGTGTATACCTCCAGATTCAGGGTGCGTTATGTTCGGGGGAAGATGGGTAGTCCGACCCAACGCCCAACGGCGCTTGGGTTCCGAGTGCGGTTGGGATCGAGCGCATTAGGAGGTCACCCATCATGGAGCTGCTCGTCTTTGGAGTGGATGGGTGATTTGTGTTCTTGGGTGATTGATTGATTGATTGATTGATTGGGTGGGAGGGTGACAGCGTGGACGACGTAAACTGCCCCCATCATAGAGCTGCTCGTCTCTGGATTGGATGGGGTGCCGCAATGCGCACGGGTGATGGGTGATTTGGGTTCTTGGGTGATTGATTGATTGATGGGTGATTTGGGTTCTTGGGTGATTGATTGATTGATTGGGTGGGTGACAGCATGTACGACGTAAACAACTGCCAAGCCTGT